ATGCTATGGCACTCCAGTCTACCAAATGGCACCTCCACCTCCACATTTTCCTTAACTAAACTTGCCCTAGCAGCCTCATCAGCAGCCTCATTCCCCACAACCCCCACGTGTGCTGGAACCCACAAGAAACCCACACTACATCCCCGCCTCTCTAATCTATGAACCCTTATTAAAATCTCCCCGACTAAATCCAACCTAGCCCCTCTTCTCTCACCCCCTATCCCCATCAAGCCAGATAGTGAATCAGAGCAAATTATGGCTTTCTCCACCCCACCTTCTTCCACCCACCACAAAGCCGCTATGATTGCTACCAGTTCAGCTGTGAAGATTGACAGACCATCAGGCAATCTATAACTCTGTCTAACATTAAAATGAGGAACATAAAAACCAAAACCCACTTTCTTACTCTCAGGGTCTCTAGATCCATCTGTATAAATATCTATGTAGCTATTCCATACTTTCCTAAGATGTTCTTGTACATAATGATCAACATTTCCTACACTTCCTTCCTTTATTACATTTTTAATAGATATGTCTACATCAGCCTCAGGCAGTAACCAAGGAGGGATAGGTGGCCAGTAGACAGAAGGCACCATTTCCTTTTCATTAAGCTTAAGCTCCTCTGCGTATGTCTTAACAGAATATAGAACACTATACCTATTTAGTCTACTCTCACCCTTACTAAACTCCCAACACTCTGCTAACAAAGAAACTGAAGGAAGAGTTGATCCAAAGCTTTTAATTTTTACGAGATAATTCAATGCCAATTTTACACGTCTCAGCCTCAGCGGAACCTCCCCTGCCTCCACTAGCAGCGACAGAATCGGCGTTGTTCGGAATGCCCCAGTACATATCCTCAAAGCCCTAGCTTGAACCACGTCTACCTTATTAAGCGTGGACCTAGCTGCTGATCCGTATACAAGACACCCATAATCAAAAACTGATCTTATCATAGCTTTATAAATCATCATCATAAGATTCCTATCTGCACCCCAAGAGCACCCCGTCAAACACCTCAAAATATTAATAACCTTTACACATTTATTCACCATTCTACATACATGTTCTTCATACGTTAGCTTCTCATCTACCCAAACCCCAAGAAACTTGAAAACCCTAACTCTCTCAAGAGGTTCTCCATACAACTTAAGACCTAGACTATTTACATTCCTCTTCCTGCCAAAAACCATATACTTTGTTTTTGTCAATGATAGTCCCCATGATAAGCCCCACTTATCACTCCAATCCTGCACTTTATTCAAAGCGCACTGCATTTGTTTAAATAAATATCCTGTATTACGGCCTCTTTTCCATAATGCTCCATCATCAGCAAACAAAGATCGCTGAAATCCACTTCCTACTTCATCAAACATATTATTAACCATTATATTAAACAAGACTGGGCTGATTACACTACCCTGCGGAGTCCCATTTTCTACAAACATATAATCAGAAAAGCTCCCTCCTACTTTTACCTGAATACATCGTGCTCTCAGAAAGTCCTTAATCCAATTGATCATTCTGCCCCGAATCCCTGCATCATACAACTTAATGATTACTCCTTCCTTCCACAGCATATCATAGGCCTTCTCGATGTCAAAAAACACACCTAACACCACCTCTTTATTTACAAGGGCTTTCTTGATATCATCATCCAGCACTAAAACTGAATCCATAGTACCTCGACCCAGTCTAAAACCATTCTGATATGTAGAGAAAAATTCTTTCTTTTCCAATCTATATACCAACCTATCAGTAACCATCCTTTCCATAATCTTACAGATAACAGCTGTAAGAGCAATTGGTCTATATGAACCAGGGCTTTCCGCTTCCTTGCCGGGTTTTAAAATCGGCACAATTACTGCATGTTTCCATTCAGCTGGAATTAATCCTTCCTCCCACACTGTATTAATTAATGCCAATACCTCCTCCAATGCAAATTCATCCATCTGCTGAAAGATCTCATATCCTAATCCATCTCTCCCAGGAGTAGTGTGTCGCCCTCGTCTTATTGACTTTCTTAACTCATATAAAGAGAAAAACCTATTAATTACATCACTGTTGTCATTACTCTTGTTAAGTTTATGTCCTTCCAGCTTAAGCATTAACTCTCTCCTAATCAAACCTTCACTACCAACATTACTATCACTGTGCACTAGCTGGAAACTCCTAACCAACAGATCAGCCTTGTCCTCGTTACTCACCACTTCTCTACACCCTTCTACCAAAACACGAATGGCAAAACCTCTATTAATTCCCGCCATCCGATGAATCATATTCCAAACCTGTTTAATATTAGTCTCAGAGCCAAGAGTGCCACAGAACTTCTGCCAACTCTCTCTCTTCGCACACTTTATAACCTTCCTTGCCTCAGCTCTCCGTTGCTTATATTCAATAACAAGACTCTCAACAGGACATCTACGAAGCTGCCTATAAGCTCTATTTCTAATCCACACAGCCTCATCACAAGCCTGATTCCACCACGGCACTACTTTATTCTTTTTCCTCTCACCTTTCATTTTAATGGCTTTTTCTGCGACTTTCCTCACTACGCCACAAAGAGAATTACTCCACTCATCAGTGCTACCTTGACTATTTACATCTCCTAAACTTCCTACCAACTGCTCTCTGAATTTTTCCCAATCTGCTTTTTGAAAATTAAACCGTCTCTCCACTCTCTCCTTCTCCACCTGCAAAACTCTGCCAAATTCACTAAAAATAGGGAAATGGTCACTCCCTAAAGTGTTAAGACCCATAGGGTACCAACTCCCACACCTAGCAAGTTCTCCTGACGCAAAGGTTAAATCAATACATGAAAGACTCCCACTATTTACCTGAAACCTAGTCGGTCTTCCATCATTTAACAACACCAAATTATTTTTGTCTATAAAATCTTCTATTAAAACCCCATTTACATCTCTAATTCTACTACCCCAAAGAGGATTGTGAGCATTAAAATCTCCTGTCCACACTACTGGAAGTCTCACCTGATTCATTATATCATCCAATTTATCCATTTCCAACCGAAGACAAGGATTATAAAAATTCACCAATGTAAACCTACCTACTGTGCTCCATACTTCAATTGCTATACATTCCAGTCCTGATGTTATATTTACTTGTTTATATTGAACACCTATTTTAACAAATATTGCACAACCCCCTCCAGTCAAATTTCTGTCTTTACGTAAACAAATAAAACCTGGTATCACAAAATCTAAAGACGGTTTTAACCATGTCTCCTGAATACATATTAACTGTGGTTTATTTTTGCAACCATCCACAAACTTTTTTAATTCCTGTCCATTTGCTACCAAACTCCTGGCATTCCACTGCAGGATACAAAACATTACTAGACTAACTATCAATTTCATCACCATCATCATCATCTTCCATTTGACCTCCATTATTCTTTCCCCTTCTGTCTCTTGAAAACACATATCTATATAGGGCAGCTGGCTCAACCTCTACAACCCCAAGACTCCTCTCAGCAGCCTTCACCACACTTCTAACAACGTCTGAATTATTCTTAGTCTGCTTCATGTCACACATCACATCCACAATGAAAGCCAGGAATTTCATCTTACTCACCACCACTGATTCTTCTGTTACATAAGCTACCGGTGGAGGGTTTTCCGCTTCTCTCCTTCTTGAGTCAACCACCTTACTACATGTTACAACCTTTTTAACAGCCTCAGCATAAGATACCCCTTTGTTAATCTCCCTAAACTGCTGTACCCTCATAGCCTGCTTATATTGTTCACATTCACGATTTCCAGCTATGTGCCCTCCACCACATGTACCACACTTTACCACCTTCTCCTTACACTCAGAGAACTCATGCTCACCTCCACACTTTCCACATCTTCTATCTCCTCTACAAGCAGCCGCAATATGTCCATACCTCTGACACTTAAAGCACCTCAAAGGTGGCCTTCTATATGGATGCACTTTAAATGACAAACACCCTAGGAACACTCGTTCTGGCAGGGCTCTTTCCTGAAAAGATACCACCACAGTTAATGTTTCCCGCTTAGCTCCATCACGAAAAACTTTCATTCGTGTAGCATCATCAATCCTCGCCCCCTCTATACCCCTCACCAACTCAACCATGGAAATCTCCAGAGAAACCCCATAAATCACCCCTTTCAAGCCCATCTTGCTCCCTGGAATAAATCCTTCCACTCGCCTTTTCCCTATCGCATCCAGTGAAACAGCTTTGTTCATCTGAGCCACAGACCTGCAAAATACAAGCAGTTTCCCATCACCCAAAATTCTTGCACTCAGGATATCACCCAACTCTTCCTTCAATGCCCCAGCAAGCCTAATTGGGTTGAAAGAACTAAATCCAGCCTCTCCTTCCTTCAACTTAAAAATCACTTTATACTCTTCTGACTGGATACTGTTTCTTCTCATTACCTTTACCTGCTGATCTCTCCCTCCATCTGACTCTTGTGAATCACTAATTTTATTTCTCTTTTTCCTGTTTTTCTTCCTATTATTTTGTTACCCTTCTTCCCCACCTTCATCCTTGTCCTGCATTGCAGGAACAATATCTTAATTATTGTAGCTTAAACGAGCTGAAGTGCATGCAAACAAGATCGTTGTCGACTTTCGTCTCTATCAGCGATCCAGGAGACGAACTTTCACTTTCTATGTGTGAAGAGAGAGAGACGTAAACAGGTACGCGTGTTCCTCGGCGTCACTCCAGCGTTTGGCCATAGTCACGTGACATGGGTGTTTTGAATCACGCTTCGGAAACAGTGTTTCGAAACATCTGAGCTTCGGCATCTCGCAAAGCTTCGGAACGACTGTTTCGTGTCAGCCATAGGGACAGGCAGCCAGCGGTTAGTGAGGAGATGTTTGCTGTATGTGACAAAAAATGTTTTGGCCTAAAAAACGCGTGACATCGCTTAGAGCACCTTTAAGTTAAGGAAGTGAAGCTACCGGTTTGGCACCATCGTGTGAATGCTCAGCTTCTCGGCACTGCGGTCTTTGAATCACTTGGAAGATGTTCATTCCGCTGATTTTCTCATTAGTTTTTAGCGCATTTTTCAGTGTTTTCTCGGCAGGTAAGTCACAATACAGCTAATTACATATTGGTTGAATTGTTTCCGCGTGTCTTGCAATGCGCTTTTCAAATAGACATTTTTTGACATGCATTTGATATGTGCATATTCTGTCTGACGCTGTAGGCTACAAATGGTTTTATTGAACTCGAACGCAAACAGAAATTGCGTAAACTTGTGCAATTTTACATTATGTGAAATCCAGTCCAGCTGAAATGGCAATGCAGTACCACTGCATGTTTGTGAAAGAGTCTGGATCTTTTCACTGAACGAATGAATTAATAAATTACCAGTAAACCGGACGTTGTGTTCACGAATCGGTCGGAACGCGGTGTTCCCTAAACCTATGCTTGAGCTGATTCTAAACATTTAGTGTAAATCCTAAACGGAGTGTTCCAATAATTTGACTGGGGGGCGCAAAGTAACTTAGGCTACTTTAAAAACGAGAAAGCAGAAATACTAAAAATAAAACATCCTGGTTGTATACGGTTTAGCAAAAACGCGTGATAAACAGCAGTGGATTTTTTTAGGACGTGTTTGTTTACAACATGCAGGTGATATGTCACGCGGGCGGGGGTGGTGGAGGATCACGTAATGACGTATTAGCGTCATGACGTTTTGTTTTGTTTTGTTTTTGCCCAGCATGGCTTAGTTTAGTCTTCCTCCGCATTAAATGCTAGATAAAATGAATAAGTCTAGTAATACTCATAACACGAAGGTATACAAAATACAAGAATTAGCCTATTTTTAAAAAAAAAAAAAAAAAAGAATACATCTAAAAATGATTGAAATACAGCATGTAAATTTATCATTCATTATTTTTTATTCACTACAGATTTGTTTTCTGCTCACTGATCTCTAGATATAGATTAAATATATAGCCTATTATTTACACTATAGATCAGTGTTTCAGCAATATTTAAAGTTGACATGCCCCTTCCAAATCAGCAACCCGTGTGCACTGCAAAAAAAATGTCTAAAAATTCTTAAATCAAGATGCATTTACTAAATTTGTACAAAATGACTTAAGATATTATGTCCTATTTTCCAGGGGAATTAATCAAAATTATCTGCCAATGGTGTAAGAAAAATAATCTTAATTCAAACTAGGGATGCAACGATACCGCTTTTTCAAAACCGATCCGATCCGATACCAAAATTCTGAGTATTGGCCGATACCGATACCAATCCGATACCAGTGCAGTTTTTTTTATATCAAGTAAAATTTATATAACTCTGTGTTTAACACACAAAAGAGTGATTATTAGTTCAACACACAATCTACTTAATACAGATAACTTAATTTTAAAGAAAAACAACAAATCCAAAAAATATTTGATCATAATCTGTGACAAAAATGCTATTATAAACTAGATTAGTGGATAATTCAGCAGTAAAATTTAGTCTAGAAAAATCACGAGTGCACAATAATTGTATAAAATCTGAACATTTAGTGAAAAGAATTAGGGGAACAAATAAGAGACAATAAGTGTAACACTAAATCTGGTCAAACGTTACAAATGGATTGTTGTTTTTGTATTGTTGTAAAATACATTCATGAAAAACAAGATAACAAAAATCAAAAAGATAAATTATTATATATAGCCTATATAGGCTACTATAAAATTGAGACATGTTTTAAATGTATAGCACAGCTGTTTAATGAGGCAGCAACATATGATAGATAGGACAGAACAAGAAAGGCTATTAATAATCTTTCATTGCGCAAAAGTAGTATGATATGATTATGAAAGACTCCAATACAGTGCGGCACACATCGCTTATGCGCATCGCGAGCGCAGAATGATGTGCTTGAAGCAACACGGAGTCACAGCGCGTCGAGTCCGCATTTAAAAGTTCAAAGCACAAAGGAAATACATATTGATGCGTAGTGTACACAGTATCTATCTAATCTATGCAATCGTTTATTGAGCCTTTTCTTTTAACAGTTTTAAATTTCAGTTACTGTGCGCGTGAAGAACTATATAGTGCTCTGACTCTACTTTAGTGTTGCGATCTAACAGACGCCCGGTAGAAAGTAACATGATTTAGTTACAGCAATAAAGTCCAGCAATATAAAGTTGTTTTATGCGAAACCATAGACCTTTATCTACAGATCAAGTATAATAATAGTAACATTGAATCATCTTGGAGAGTTTCATCGTGTTGACTCTTGTACCCGAACGCGACGCGCTGTTTGATGCTGAATGGAGAATGACTGACAGCCGCAGCGGAGGGAAAAAGTTTACGTGGTCTTGAATTTAATGACTTAAATATTCATTTATATCTCACATTATACTATATAATGGCTTCAGAACACTTAGAAGATAGTGCACGAAAACTTTATGGTGCTTTATAATGTTTTTGTGCCTTTTGTGGGGCTTAACAATAACACAGAATAATATGCACAATATCGGATTTGGATCGGCCTCGTCTGACCGATACCCGATCCGGCAAAAATGGCAGTATCGGAGCCGATATCGATACTGAGTATCGGATCGATGCATCCCTAATTCAAACAGAAACAATATTATTTTTCTTACCCCATTGGTAGATAATTGAGCTTTTTTTTAAGCAAAAACTCACTTCATTTTTATTTATTTCCCAAGAAAACAAGACATACTATCTTATGTAATTTTACAACTTTAGTAAATGCATCTTGATTTAAGAAAAGTTTGAAATTTGACTGGAAACAAGAGAAAAATACTTAGTAAGAAAAGCATTTTGTGCAGTGTATCATCTAGAATTTCGAGTTTCCTATTTGCAAATACAAGTTTGCTCTGTCATTCATGTTCTCAGAACTCATAATTATGAAATTTCCAACTCCACTTGAAGGCCACATAAGCCTGCATGGCTACGTTATAAAGGTTTCTGCCCCGGGGTCATGGCACAAGAATACTATTAAAAACCTAATTTTGGAACAATTCTATTTAAAAATAAAAATACAATTAATGCAATTCAGCAAATGACAACCAATCATGTCATGGGCAGTTTAGAATTATGTGACTTATTTACAACATGCCTTCAAATCTTTGAAAATGTTTTTTAAAAAAAATCTTGCATTTCATAATGAAATTAGACACGCTCAGTGCAGACTCGTTTTCTGCTAATTATTTTTCATTAACTTTTATGTATGTAAAGGATTGTGGGTAATTGTGAGATGTAAATGCTAAACTTGATGCATCTTTCAAAATATGCCGAAACAAGGATGCAAAACAAAGACCATCTTCCAAGGATCCTTCAAACTGATACGGCCTTCGATGGTGTTTCATGACATGGCAGCCTTACTAGCCAGAAACACACAAATTCTTTTAAATAACTGTAACTGTTCGATGAACCGATTCATAGTTGGTCTTCCCCATCACTCCAATGCAATCTTATCTTACCATTATATAAAAGCTCATGATAATTTCTTTGTATTCCCAGCGGAAGTGTTACGATTCTCTTCTTATTATGGGAGTCACATGGTTCTGCAGAAAGCCCCAGCCAAAGCAGTTGTGTGGGGATTTGGACAGACAGGAGCCAAGGTTGTGGTGTCGTTGTCTGGACCACACAAAGTGTCTGCACACTCTGTTCCTGTTATCAATGGTAACTCTTGTCATTTCAAATCTGTATGACTGACTTTCTTCTGCGAATCACAAAAGGAGAGATCATAATGAATAATTTGGCTGGAAGAATTCAGAACAATGACAGTGCATTCTGGCTTCAATGTCTCACAGGTATTTGGCGCACAACTCTCAATCCTGTGGAGGCCGGTGGTCCCTACATATTGACTGCATCTCAGAGTACAACTAACAGCTCAATCACTCTTACAGATGTGCTCTTTGGAGACATCTGGTTATGTAGTGGTCAGAGTAACATGGCATTCACTGTTGATCAAGTGAGTAAATTTCTCTTAACTCTTAAAGTTGACATCTTTCAGATGTGTAGTTAACCCCAAAAATGTATCTTGTTCTTTAAAAGTTGATCAATGCAACAGAGGAGCTGGCCATGGCATCTAAGTTCCCTGACGTGAGGATCTTCCAGGCTGCCTTGGAGAAGAGCGACGAGGAACTAATTGATCTCGCAGGAGTGGAGATTCCTTGGTCCCGACCAACAGCAGGCATGGAAAACCGAATACGTTCTTACAAATCTAAAAGCTAAAATGGGATATTTGTTGAATTCCTGTTTTATCTCAGAGGGATAGTTCACTTCAAAATGAAAATGCTGTCATCATTTACTCACCCTCGAGTTGTTGGACCCATTGATTTCCATAGTATTTTTTTTTTCCTACTATGGAAGTCAATGGGTCCAGTTAACTGTTTGGTTACTGACATTCTTCAAAATATCTTCCTTTGTGTTCAGCAGAAGAAAGACATTCATACAGGTTTGAAACAACTCGAGGGTGAGTAAATGATGACAGAATATTAATTTTGAAGTGAATGATGTCCAACCGGTTTTTTGTTTTCTAGATGAAAATGAAAAATTGTTAGCAAAAGGTATGCATGACACTGTACATGTCCCTGAAGAGAAATGTCTTTTTGTGTTCCTCATTCAAGAATTACTTGGTGGAAAGGAATTCAGCCATTTCTCTGCAGTTTGCTGGCTCTTTGGTCGCTATCTCTATGAGACACGGAAATATCCCATCGGACTAGTAGAGACGTGTTGGGGAGGCACACCTGTGGAAGCCTGGTCAACACCAAGGTCGCTTCACAAGTGTGGATTGAAGAGCTCAATGACCAGGTATAACACTAAAACACCCTGTTTCTGAAAGGAAAACCTTCGATAGTTTGGTATAAGTAGGGTTTTTTTTAGGGGGAAAGAAATGTAATACTTTTTTTCCACAAGGATTCATTAAATTTATCAAAAGTGACAGTAAAGATTTATAATGTTGATAATAATGTTACAAAAAAATATATATTTCAAATAGAACTTTCTATTCTTTAAAGACTCCTTTTCATAGAAAAAAATATATATTTTAACAAAACTTGCAGAAAAAACAGGAAATTAAATAAAAAAAGAACCTTTCACACCATCATGACTGTGTGTCTAGGTCAGTAAGTATATACAAATATCAGAATATTTTACCTGTGTATGACAAGGTGGGTTTAGTTCAGGTTTAAACTCCCCAAAAAACTTTAAGTATCATATCAAATGTTAAATTAACTTTTCTTGTACATGAAATCACCAAGCATTACATTTCCAAGAACTTGGCACATTTTTTAAACTACATTTTTTAAAAGATTGTTCTTTTCTTTATCATGAACACTCTTGTATAGTACGTTATTGACCTACATAAGTAAATGTGGTTGGCTGAATGAATAGTTTGTAAAATACAGTACAGTTAACATACATTTAATACAAATACATTTGACATTCTCAACTTCTGAACCTGAATTCACTACAGTGATCCTTATAGCCCTCCGTCTGTGCGAAGTTACTTCTTGGGGAACATCTCTGCTAAATGGACGAGTTCAGTGCTGTGGAATGCCATGATCCATCCGTTACTCAACATGACCATAACAGGAGCCATATGGTACCAAGGTAGTACTTCTCACTCAGGTGATGAATTATAGCCCTTTATAACATGTGCAAAGACTTGCTATCTTTACCTTTGCTCTTTGTCTCAGGTGAGGCTAATGCAAACTACAACAGGGATAAATACAACTGCTCTTTCCCTGCCATGATTGACGACTGGAGGATGGCTTTCCATGAAGGCTCAGATGGCCAAACTGCACTAGACTTCCCATTTGGATTCGTACAGGTACTCTTAAATAGAGAGGCACTGCAGAGCCAATGGGAGGAGCTTGATGTCCAGCTCCCCCTCGCTGGATGTAATGGGGTGAGCTAGAAAGTCCAACACACTAAACATACTTAACTCCACCCATTACATCAAGAGAGTGCGATCTCCCTGTCATTTGGCTCTGCAGTGAGCACCACTTTCTTAAATAGTCAGTAATGGAAGGAAATATCTTGAGAGCTATATGTCATCAATACTTATTACATGAAATTAAATTGAACTTCCATTTCATTTCTAGCTAAGCACATATCGCAAAAACGATCAGCTTGATGGGTTCAGAGAAATACGCTGGCATCAGACAGCAGACTATGGCTTTGCCCCTAATGAGCGCATGAAGAACACCTTTATGGCTGTTGCTATCGATGTACCTGATAAAAAGTCCCCTTGGGGAAGGTGAGGAGGAGCAGAAACTATTCCAATAGTTTAATGGAAGTGCTGGACTCTAACATGCCTGTTTTTGGGGGTTCAATAGTATCCACCCAGAGGATAAACAGGACGTGGCGTACAGACTTGTGCTTGGGGCAAGAGCTGTCGCCTATGGGGAGAAGAACGTGTCTTTCCAAGGACCTTTCCCTACTCACGCCATCCTCTACAAGTCTTTCATTAGCATCGTGTTTAATCAGGCTGTTAATGCCATTCATGATGATGATGATGATTTTTTTGAGGTAATTCAAGTACATGTTCAATTAGAAAACTGTGATTTAAAAAAATATGAATTCAAACAAGGGCTGATTTTAAAGGTTGGGTAGGCAATGTTTTTATTTTGTTATACTGGTTAAAACTCTCTTCACATCCTGATAGCAATCAATAATAGAAGTGGTCTAAATATTAAAACAAATACATAGTATACACTCACCTAAAGGATTTTTAGGAACACCATACTAATACTGTGTTTGACCCCCTTTCGCCTTCAGAACTGCTTTAATTGTACGTGGCATTGATTCAACAAGGTGCTGAAAGCATTTTTTAGAAATGTTGGCCCATATTGATAGGATAGCATCTTGCAGTTGATGGAGATTTGTGGGATGCACATCCAGGGCACGAAGCTCCCGTTCCACCACATCCAAAAGATGCTCTATTGGGTTGAGATCTGGTGACTGGGGGCCATTTTAGTACAGTGAACTCATTGTCATGTTCAAGAAACCAATTTGAAATGATTCGAGCTTTGTGACATGGTGCATTATCCTGCTGGAAGTAGCCATCAGAGGATGGGTACATGGTGGCCATAAAGGGATGGACATGGTCAGAAACAATACTCAGGTAGGCCGCGGGATTTAAACGATGCCCAATTGGCACTAAGGGGCCTAAAGTGTGCCAAGAAAACATCCCCCACACCATTACACCACCACCACCAGCCTGCACAGTGGTAACAAGGCATGATGGAGCCATGTTCTCATTCTGTTTACGCCAAATTCTGACTCTACCATCTGAATGTCTCAACAGAAATCGAGACTCATCAGACCAGGCAACATTTTTCCAGGCTTCAACTGTCCAATTTTGGTGAGCTCTTGCAAGTGGTAGCCTCTTTTTCCTATTTGTAGTGGAGATGAGTGGTACCCGGTGGGGTCTTCTGCTGTTGTAGCCCATCTGCCTCAAGGTTGTGTGTGTTGTGGCTTCACAAATGCTTTGCTGCATACCTCGGTTGTAACGAGTGGTTATTTCAGTCAAAGTTGCTCTTCTATCAGCTTGAATCAGTCGGCCCATTCTCCTCTGACCTCTAGCATCAACAAGGCATTTTCGCCCACAGGACTGCCGCATACTGGATGTTTTTCCCTTTTCACACCATTCTTTGTAAACCCTAGAAATGGTTGTGCGTGAAAATCCTAGTAACTGAGCAGATTGTGAAATACTCAGACCGGCCCGTCTGGCACCAACAACCATGCCATGCTCAAAATTGCTTAAATCACCTTTCTTTCCCATTCTGACATTCAGTTTGGAGTTCAGGAGATTGTCTTGACCAGGACCACACCCCTAAATGCATTGAAGCAACTGCCATGTGATTGGTTGATTAGATAATTGCATTAATGAGAAATTGAACAGGTGTTCCTAATAATCCTTTAGGTGAGTGTATCTTCTGTGGAAGTCTTGAGGCCAAAAAAAATGTCATTCAATCACTGTATTCGGTCCGAATGCAATTATAGGCTGTCCTACCTGCCTGTCAACCTAAGTATTTGCATACCTTGCTCGCGCTATTGCTATTGCTAGCCTCTCCAAAATTGCCTACCCTTCTTTTAAGATGAGAATGTTACTGTTGATCTTACCTTGACTGTGTATGCTTTTTTTTTCTACTGTAGATCTGCTGTTCTGAGGATAAAATGTGTGGATCAAACAACAATTGGTTGCCTGTTCCCATAATAAAACATGGCTTAAATTATGTCTATGTATCTAAACCACCGTGTACAGCTGCTTCAATTACTGCGGTGCGTTATCTCTGGACAGACTGGCCCTGTCAATTTAAAGCTTGCCCCATCTACAGCACTTATGGGCACTTACCTGCACCACCATTCATCCTGGCCATAACAGAACCAGTATACTGAACCATCATGTTTTTAAAATGTCTCTTCATATCATGTAGCAGTGATTAAATATATATATATATATAAATGAGTAAAATGTATGCAAGAGAGAGATTTGGATGCACTTCTACAAATCTTTTTGAGTGACATAAGCTGGAAATGTCTGTGATTTGAACTTGACTGGAGAGCCATTTTACACAATTCAGTCAGTTTGCACTTTGGATGTGTCCTTTTTTAAAAGGTCACCCTTTTTTGTGTGGTATAATATCAAATACCACTGTGTCTAATGTTTATGTTTCATAAATTGTTTGATGTTTATTTTTGTCCTCTAACAATTAAAGTTTGTTCAGTGGAGAATTCATTATGATATTTTTATATACATGATTGATTAATAAAAATAAATCAATGTAAAGTGGAGCGTTATCCGGCACTAATCAGAAAGTATGATTTGCCTTTCACTGAGATGCAAAACAGAGAAAGAGGTAAGACTTTATTTCAATGGTTCACTTTTAGACATTCTACTAACTATATAAGTAACTTTGCAACTTCATGTCAACTAACTCTCATTGGAGTATAGACAGGTTAGGGTTAAGTGTTAGGATTTGGGTTAGTAGAATAAGTTGACATGTAGTTACAAATCAATAGTCAGTAGAATGTCTGTTGAGAGACCATCAAAAGTTTTTGCAGATATGGAGTCTACTAACCCTCTAATGTAGTTGCAAACTTACTTATAGTTAGATAAACAGACAAACATGAATTTAAGACTTGAGAGGTTAAAACAAAGGCACTTTCTCCTTCACTGATGAGTGTCTCGAATTGATCGAATATTAATATATGTACCTGTAAACCTCAAAACTTCACAGCATTTATTCTCATTTTTCATTTTAATGAATGTCCCGAACAAATGTTTATTTATTCTTGAATATGTGTACTCCATAGTCTATTCACAAGGCTTTAACAAAGCTCTTGAATGGGGGCTCCCTGGCTCTCCTGTAGGGCTCAGTGAATGTGAAGACTCATTCAATACATTCTCACAATCTCACTATATTCAATTTAGACTACAAACTCTCATTCACAATAATGTTAATTGAGAAATACATTTATATGAACAATACACTGAAGTTTAACCCAATAATGTTTTTTGCAGTTGTATTTATTTTAACTGCACTGTTCAACAAAGTATTTCAACATTTTTGGGTGGAAACATGTTCAAAGTACGATTTAGAGATGCTCTACGATGCCAGGTGATGACTGTTCAATATATATATAAGCTATTGTATATATTATAAAATATAAATGCAAGTATTTGTATTCGTAAATTCCTATAGAATTAGTAGCAGAGCAGAGGAAAACAACAAAGGTTAAAGGTGCATTTAGTCATTAACCTTATTAAAAAGATTTTCATCTCACATGAAATAAATTGCCTCTGTCATATCAGTAGCCTAATTAAACTGTTTTATTTTACATGGAGGTAGCCGTCATGTTGAGATCACACAACCAGCTGTATACAGTAGGCCTACAGTACCTGTTATTATTGGAGTCTGTCCCTTGCATAATTAACTGTGTTCAGTAATGGAAAGTAGTGGCAAGTGAAACTTTTAGCGTTTATGTGGAGTCCAAGACAAATTTCAAATCAGGCAGCACTTGTAATATATTTGTGTTTGAGTGCATCTTTAATACATTTTGCTGTAATTTTCCAGCCATTGTGCCATATTTTATGAGGTAGCTTAGCTAAAGTCCAAATATCTTCTTCTGACTCCTCTAATAGGCTGAACTCACCACATGTACAAAAACACTAACAACAACAAAAAATCACTTTAGGCTACAACCAAAAGTCTATGATAACCAACAGTAGACAGATGATCACTGACCACTTTGCTTACTAAACTCAATAAATGGGCCTAAATGATTTCTAGTCGATGCATGCATCCTAAACCAATTTATGACATCCTTATATGTTATTTGACTTTCCAAATATTTCTAAAGAGCCTAAAACGTCTTTAGAGAATATAAGATTACACTAATATTCAAACATGTTCTTTATGTACCGCCTTTTAGAGAATCTAGATTCTCAAATACAGCAAAGTGTCGGCTACTAGCGCCTCTAGTTGTTTTCTCAGCTCATTGATCTGAGCTGCTCATGCGCAGGGAGGCGTGCACGCGCCAGTCTATGGCACGCGCATGTATGTAAACTAGCGGCCTGTTTCAGTTGGTGGTGACCGACGTATGTGTTTTTCTGTCACGAAAAATCAGATTATACATACTGTAAACATAAACAGGTAATTCATTTTTATCATATAACTTGCAAAAGGAATTTGGTGACTATCACATAGCTTCATCGTCGGCTGTGTTAGCTAACGCTAGATGTGAAAAATAGCAGCTAGCACGTTAGCGTTAGCGGGTACGTCCGCCAGCTTTTTGCAACATTATACAGAATTGCACGTGAGCTGTAAATCTTAACTTTGCACGGGAGCTAAATAATTGACAGTCCTTAGTGTGTGTTCATAAATACAGTATGAATCACTGACAGAATTGGCATGCAACTTATGTGTTGTTAGCCTGTGAGGCTTCAGCCACTTGGCTATGTCAACACTTAATTTTGTTACCGAGTAACGTTAGTTAAAAATGTGTTACTATGCAATTCTACTGTGAAGACCAAGCGTTTCAAACATTGGTAGCTGCTAATTATATAGTTTTGATTTTATTAGTGAAGCGAACGCTACTATTTTTACTCAAAAGATGGCCGTGTCAAACTTTATTGATCAGGTTTGTTAATCTGTAACCTAACACCCTTGCCTTTAAGTGGTTAGACACATTTTCGGTGTTCAGTAATGACGGTTAACCAGTTTTCTTAATATTTTTGTGACCGTTGTATTGATTGACACGTATGACACACAAGTGGCGTATTTTCCTTATACAGTTAACGTGCAGTGGTGAAAACCATACAATATAATACCACATTTCCTATGCACCGAAGGTGGCAAAGAAGCGCTTCTGAAGTGGCAATTTGGTGTCTTCACACATTGTTTAATGCTGCTCAGAGGTGGCATTAATGCATTTACACACATTTTAACTGCATGTTGTTATACTAAATGCTGAGATGGGTTAGAGCAGGGATATATTAGTCTGGCTTTTATGCTGCAGTGTGTCTTTACACAGAACTGAGAAGCCTACTCAAAATTATATGTGAAGATGCAATGCAGCATGCAAGCCAGACTAAATTATGCCTGCTCTGACCCACCTAAGCCCCTTGTTTAACAATATGAAGTTACAATTGCTGTGTAAATGCATTTATGCCACTTCTGAGCAGCATTAAACAGTCTGTGTAAAGACAGCTAATTGCCACTTCAGAAAAGCTTCTGTGCCACCTTTGCGGTGTAAATTCACCATGTTTTCCCGTGGTGAAATATACCTTTCTCCAAGTGTAAAGATCCAGAGTGGCACTGTATGTGGCAACTATTGTGTTTGTTGGATAGGTTGGTTGATTTGAATCATCTGTGTCCCCTAATAGCAGCCCTGCCCCGACGCGGCCCAACCCCAAGCGGCGCCGTCATGTGGCAGGAGGCCCGCAAACATGAGCGGAAACTGCGCGGGATGATGGTGGACTACAAGCGGCGTGGGGAGAGACGCAGAGAGTACTATGAGAAAATCGTAAGTCAAAAGACAAGAGTCTGTGACCTTGACATCACTTTCATCATGTTTTGTTTCCTGAGCACAGCTTAATCCTGGTACTGGACAGAGGCTTTTGAATGAAGAAACACACTTCTCTTGTTCTGTGTAGAAAAAGGATCCAGCCCAGTTCCTGCAGGTTCATGGTCGAGCGTACAAAATCCACCTGGATTCAGCTGTAGCCCTGGCAGCTGAGAGTCCCATCAACATGTATGTCACTAGCATACAGATCAGTCTGCATAAATGCTCATAGTTCCCACACCAACATAAAATTAGCCCATTTTAATGGGTTTTCTTGGAAAACTGTCACAACTTCATCTTATGTTCTAACAGGATGCCTTGGCAAGGAGATACCAACAACATGATTGATAGATTTGATGTCAGGGCACACCTGGACTACATCCCCACCTATACACCTATACCTCTCCTGAACACTACGTGAGTAGTCTGATCTTATTGCATCTCATGCTGGAAACTAAAATAAATTACCTTGAGTATTCTAAGAACTATACAATATATAGCATACAAAATAAGGTATACAAATACATGGGCACAGTGTATAATTAATGATTTTTCAATTTAACTCTGGTATTTCTCATTTAGGGGTCACACTTGTGATCCTCGGCAGTCAAAACAGTGCAAAGACGATAGGGATTTTGTTTCAGTATTATTTATTCCTTAATATTTAGGAGTTTCAGGGGGTTTTATGGTACTATTTTTATTCATAATATGACTAATCATTATTTTAATCATAAGTAAATATTGTTGCTTATAAGATTATTTACAGACATAACTACTTTTTTGTTTTGTGTTTGGATATATATTTAGACATTGTCAAGTACTGCTTTGTTTTGTAGACACCCAAAAAATTGCTCTTCATTTTTATATTTCCCATTAATTTCCTATGGATGTCATTTTGGACCATGAAGATCACAAGTGTGACTTTAAGACCTTTTAAACTTCTAATCATGTTCACATTTTGTTTTTTTAATTTAAAAAAGTGCCATTTCTGGTCTAAAATGACTAGACCACCAGATAGTTAAAGATGTTTTGATAAAATAATGCAGAACTGGTTGCTACTTTGTGTAATTGTTGATAGAGCTCATTGTTTTTTCACAGCACCCCAGAGCAGGAATCAGAAGAGAGGAAGTGCAATTATGAACGCTATAGAGGTCTGGTGCAGAATGACTTTGCGACCAGTGAGTCCCCTTTAATTTCAGCATGCTTCAATCAAATTTTGACCCGTGTAATGTGACTAGATGCCATTGATAAACTTGGAAGAACCCACACAAATGTTCTTGTCATTTTGTAGTCTCTGAAGAGCAGTGTTTGTACCAGATCTATGTGGATGAACTCTACGGTGGCCTACAGAAACCAAATGAGGATGAAAAGAAAAAGTATGATCTTGTGAATCATTAGTTACCAAATGTATGCCTGAAAATACATTCAGTTAGAATGATCACATCTTATGTTTTTCTCTAGACTTTCTGAGAAGAAAGCTCAGATCGGTTATACATATGAGGACAGCACAGTGACTGAACCAGATGAAGAGACAGAGAAGGGAAACGAGGAGGACTCAGAAAACAGCGATTCTGAGGAAGACGAAGTCATCCCTGATATTGGTGTGTCCTTCATATACAATAAACACTTCCTGTTGGGACAATGCTTTTTTTATAATATACTAACACTCTAGAAATGTGATTTACTTCAACAGAATATAGAAGGTAACCAATGTGTGTGAATGCTTTCTCATGTTGTAGATGTTGAGGTGGATGTAGATGAACTGAACCCAGAGCAGGTGACGGAGATTAACAAGATGGGCACCACTTACGGCATGGCAGAGGGGGACTTTGTTTGGTTTGTTCACACATTCTTCAGCTAAACCATTGTAATGCAAATCAGAGGAGATTGATTGTTACATTGATTGAGTCTTAGGGTGCTTTCACGCTTGCATTTTTGGTGTGCACCTGGGTCTGATTGAGGTCGAAGAGTTCAGTTGATCTGGGTGATGAACAGGTACCCACAAACCGTACCCGAGTCCGCATAAAAAGGGTGGTCTGGGGTACGAGTTCGCTGCTGAGATGAACTCAAGTATGCTAAATCCCGGAGGTGAACCGCTGTTGATGACGTAGGGGTAAACCGCTGCTTCTTTAGGGTGTGTTCACACTCTGCATGTTTGGTTTGATTAAAACAAACCCTGGTGCGATTGCTCTGTTAGTGCGGCTCATTTGAATAAGTGTGTGAAGGCTGCCATCTGAACCCTGGTGCGCACCAAACAAGCGGACCGAGACGCTGAAAAGATGAGTGTTGGTCCGCTTCCAAACAAACTCTAGTGCTGTTTTAATGAAATATGAACGCAACACTATACACAATATAATTGTAATGTATTTTATTTGATACATGCCTATTGACAACTGACAATCAGGCTAAAGCTGCTCTTTTTATCAAAAGGAACTGTCCACGTCATTATAAACTAATAAACTAAACTAACCCCGGACCAAAGACATGTATGCTAATCAAAAACGGGACATGTCATGATGTCACAAGATGCGACCCTAAAAAGGACACCTGTTTTTTCTCGTGATAGTCGCTATGTTGTCTATCACAGTTCAGTACAGGCATCAGAACCACGTCTCCTCGCAGCAGATCTTCGCTTGTGTGTGTGACGAAGGGATTTCTGATGCTGTTTTTACTCCTTTACACGTTTTAAAAGCTCTTTACGAGTTCTCAGCTGGTCAAAATACCATCATATGTAGGGTGAGCGCATTTAGCCCAGAACAGCCTTTCTCAAACTTTTTTCAGTCGGGGCACCTTTCAAAAGTGCATAAAATCTCAAGGCACCCCAGTGTAAAATATAAATTAAAAACACTGCATAACCCAAATGTAAATGCAAATGTCCTGTTTATTTAGACAGAACAGTAATGAACAGAGCATAATACGAACTGTAAATAACAATAACAATAATAATAACAACTTTACAGGGCTATCAGTTTTGTGAAAAAATCCTGATCGATTTTTGAGACATAAACGTTCATTGAATCGATTGTAAAATCGATTTTCCATGTCTAAAGACGTTTCCATTTTCAGCGCCAAATATAGGCAAATCCACGGACAACTAACAGGCATTAGCACGAGCGTAAAGAGTGCGCTTGAGACGCGCATAAGTCAGCAATATTTCTGATGATTTATTGGCATGAAGTTTCGTGCACAATGACAAACAGGAGTGCAAGATTCTCGAAAAACAATAAGCAGAGTGGACTGCCATAACATCAATGAAAAACATTGCTGCAGGCTTCGACATGGCTGTGTTTACGATTAGAAATGTCAAACAAATTTCGCCTACGTAGGCGATTGTAGGCCTGATCTGTATCTGTATGCATGGGACTGTCTGAATACCGGCAGAATTCACATTTTTGTTGTAAAAAGAGACACGTTATGCAGAAGTATAGTATAGTTTGTATGTGTGTTTGTCAGAGCCTGCAGTTGCTGTGTGACGCACGTTCGCGCGGTCGGTGTTGTTGCTATAACGCGGTGCTATGGGTTGCGTCACTTGCGTCAAGTTGTGAGTGTGTCTTGCTTCGGCCTTGTGAGACGGATTTCTATGGTTAATTTTATATATATATATTTATCTAAAATGAATTTACAATTTTATTAATACGTTCATATGTTTAAAAAGAAGAAGAATGTATTTATGTAAATTCAAATATATATATATATGTATTTTTAGCCTACGTAATTTTTTGGCGGCACCCCTGACAAAGTCAGGGGGCACCCCAGTGTGCCGCGGCACCCACTTTGAGAAAGGCTGGCCCAGAACATCGCATCATTTTGGATGTTTGGTAAGTTCCGTCACGAAATATATGTAATAAAAGCTCAAAAAAACGATCAGGTTGTGTACGTATTCCTATGCCTTTTGGTCCGATGTTAAAATGCCAATGTGACCGCTAAGCTGACCAGGACTGAATGTTTTGGGGGTTTTTTTTTGGTCCGGACCCAAATAATATGATGTGAACACAGTCCAGTGGGGGGAGCAATCGAACTCAAGGTCGAACCAGGCAATCGAACCAAGTGTGAAAGCACCCGTAATTAACACACTGTATTTTTCTTGTAAATCTTCTTTAAAAAAAACGTAAAGTGTAGTTAAAATCTGATGTGTCTTTGTGGCAGGATGTTGAGGAAGGACAAGGAGGAAGTGGAGGCCATTAAGCATGCTAAAGCACTGGAAGCAGAGAAGGCCATGTACTCTGTATGGGCAGAAGCTTTTCAACTGTTCTTCTCTCCCAATAAGTTGTTTGGGTTTTTTATTCGTATTGGTAATACTTTAATGTTGCTTTGCTTCCATCAGGGCCGGCGGTCTCGCAGACAGCGAAGAGAGTTTAGAGAGAAGTATATGAAAGGCCGGCAGATCAGCCCACCAAGGTAACAGCACAACAAATATGAGCTACAAGTTTTTAGATGGGTGACAAAGTTTGAATGTTTTTACTCATAAATAATAATCCCAGACTTATTAGTAGTGTCTTACATTGTTATTTGTATTCAGTCTCTATTTCTGGTTCCATAACCACCACCCAATTTACTAACCTTTTAAACATTCAAAAATTTAAAAGTGTGTGTGTATTTATATATATATATATACACACTTATTTTCCTAAAAAGACAAAAAAAAATGTATGTGCACCACCTTCACATTACTGATGTTTTGATTGAAAATTGATTAACTGAAATGAATGTGAATTTCAAAAACAGCTATGCCAGAAGAGACAGTCCTACATACGACCCCTACAAACGGTAAGTGTTTTTGATGGATTGATATTTCGCACATTAGTTTTGAATGATGTTCAAATTATGTAAAAATTTGCCCAAAAACCATTACAATTCAGGTTGCATCTATATTAAAATTCTGGCCTATACTGATAAACTCATTTTCATGATTTAGCTGATAACCAATAAATGCCCATTATTAAAAAGTATATAGTGTTTTGTCTAAAAAAAATGAAAATAGGTGTTATAATGTACATTATGATAAATTTATATTTTGATACTTTCTGAAGATTACATTTAACAGTGACATTAAGTTATTAGTGTTTTTAAAGATTAATGTTGAGGGTTAAAAGTTTGCAAAGTTAATCAGCGCCAAAATAGGGTAAATGACAATGCACAATACAATATGACCAATAATGATAAATAAATAAAAAACTCCTAATTTATGGGACAGATATATTGTGCATTACTGATTACAATTACATACCTTTCAAAGAAATTCCTTCTTTTATTCACAATTTGACCAGAAGTGACAATGATAAAGTTTATAAAATCACAAAATATTTCTACGTAAAAATAAATGTCGTTCTTTTAAACTTTCTATTCATCCTGAAAAAAATGTATCCTTGTTTCCACAAAAATATTAAACAGCCCAATCGCACCAAATCATGTAAGAATGATTTTTGAATGGAGTAATGAGCCCAAACCTTTGAACAGTGATGTACATCATATATTAATATGAATGCATCTTGCTACTCTCTCTTTTCTCTCCTTCATGTCCCAGGCCAGAGTCAGACTCAAGTTCAGAGTCACGCTCTCGTTCCCGAACCCCAGGCAATGACAAGATCACCTTCATCACCAGCTTCGGGGGCAGTGAGGATGAGGGAGCCACAGCTGCACAACCTCCACCTGCAGCGGCGTCAAGCCAAACCTCCTCCAACACTGCAGGTCATAGCAGGGGCTCCCGGTCGGTAACTTCCCCTTTCTACTTTCTGGCTCCTTAGTGGCTTTTTCTCCATTTATTTATAAGCGTGTTCAGCTGTGATAGCATGTAGTCCACTGTGCGAAGAGAATTGCCACAGGTTGAGCTTTAAAATGATTGGTGATATGGTTGAGAGAGAGCCAGCTGATATCTGAGTTGGCTTTTTAGTCTGTTGATTATATTTTGTGGGTTAAAACAGCTTGGAATCATTTAATCCTCAGAGCTAGAATCTCTTTGGCTTGTCTTGTGATTAAATCGCTTTTATAGGTTGCTCATGATGACATAGCGCTTTGTGTATATCTTTCAGCCGAAGACGGTCTTCCTCCAGTCACTCATCCTCTTCCTCCCGCTCCTCTTCGCACCGGTCCTCGCGCTCATCCTCACGTTCCCGTCGGAGTCGTCGTTCTCGCGGGGGCCGGGACCGGGACAGCCGTTACTCCAGGTCTCGCTCTCGCTCTCGACGGCGGTCTGACTCTCGTTCACGGCAGCGCAGTGGAGGAGTCGGGTCGAGGAGACGATACGACAGGACGAGGTCTCGTTCCACGGATCGAGGTAGAGACAGAAACCGAGACAGAGACAGAGACCGGGATAGGGGGAGGCGCTACACGGGCCGCAGACGAACCAGGCAAGGAACTTCCTTGAATTCAAGGCTGTAGATTCTTTGATTGAAAACATGTATAGTTTGTCTTTTGTGAATTTGATCGGATGAAACACTCCCTCCCTCAGGTCTCGCTCGCGTTCACGTTCGGGTGATCGTTACCAGCGTCGGAGTCGCAGCTCTGCGTACAGGAGGGGTGGCAGCGTCAGTCAAAGCCCCTCACACTCGCCTGCTATCAGCCACAGCCCCTCCCCCTCCTCCCATTCTGCTACGCCTGCTTCTGCAGACAAGCTGAGAAAGTAAGTTATGAAAGAAAAGTAGATACGCTTTACCGGTTTGAACGTCAGGGATGGGATTTCCATATTTTCTACCCTGAGAAATATGAACCACATGAATTGTGCAAATTGCTACATGTCTGTCTTGTCAAAAAAAAACATTAATTTTACTCAAGAGGCCCAAACTAAGCAAAATTATGCTATTTGGTGCAGTTGTTATTTATTTGGCCAGAAAATAAGATGCAATTCTGATAGCTTGCAATGTAAATCATTTAAATTTTTTCAACAGTATAGCAGACTAACACAAAATGCATGTAATAATCAGTTGTCACTCTGTATCTCCCATAAATATGACTAAGTATGATATTTAACTGCTTAGTTTTATGATAACAGCCTTGATCAGAAAAAAGTATAAGCAAAGCAAAGTAAGCAAAGTATATAATTCAATGAAATACAATAATGATTCAGAGATTTACAAATAAACACTCTTTTAAAGCCTAATGTATCATATTTGGTACATTTTAACATGAATTTTCTAAAAAATTATGTACAGATAGTCAAGTAAACCCAAATTGCTTCAGTCTAGTAAGAGTTCATCCAGAAATAATTCTAACAATATAAGTTATTCCTACAATTACCTGATACAATTTTTGAAATATCACAGCAAAAAGACCTGAAGGCGGGTGTTTTTAGAATTAAACTTAAAGGCCTTTTGCTTGCTAAACAATATGAATTATCAATCAGATGACAGAAGGCATGTAGTGGATTGGCTACAACTGTTTTTTCGGCAGTTTTGATCATATTAATAATTTAGAGGCTTTTGAAATTTGCAGCTCAAATTTGATACAGTAGACTTTATTAGTGTCTTAAGCTGATCCACATGCCTGAAAAGTGACAACTTACTAAATGTTGTGTCTTATTTTTCTCTCTCGTAGGCCTGAAACTCCGGGTGGTAAAGAGACTGGAGCTGCCAAAGTCAGTAAGAATTTGATATATCTCGATTTGTTGCTAAAGACTCCGCCTCCCTCACCCCTGACAGGCTGATGCAGTTAACAATCAGGCTGGGGCTCCTGCCCATCTCTCGGCTCTTCAGAGAGCCGTTCTCATTTGAAATGTGTGTGTGATTGGCTGTCCACTTGGTAATCAGCTGCCCTCTGTTTGCAGAATGGCAGCCATATCTGAACTTACCTGACTTTTTTTGGTATGCGTGTTAAGAAAGAGGCGGGGGGTGACCAGCGTTATCTCGAAAGAACACGATATTTCTGTGTGCTCTTCTTTGGAACCGTGAGAGATTTGTCTTCTATTTAAGGAAATTATACTTTTATTTAACTAAGTATGATTATCTGAATGATAGGTTATTGATAGACACCTGTTAATGAATGGAAAACTTCAAAGGAATAATGGTTCCTAGCAGGTTTGCTCAGAGTTTCCCAGCTCAGGTGTTGCTTCTGCCCTGGGCTTGTCAAGACAGGCAGAGCAACTTCATTCACTCGCACACCTAAACACACCTGCATAAGTCAATACACATTGTCCTTGTATGTAAAGGTTGAACAGCTTTAAGCTCCTTCTGCAATGGCTAAAGTTGCAGTCATTTTGTAACTGTTCCATCGAGTTGGTGTATCTGACCTGCAGAGGAAACGAGTCAACAGTTCTGTACTATTCGAAATTAGTGCCTTCATTTGTCTGTTCACACCTTTCCATATACCTAAAAATACGTCCAAAATACGGCATTTCTGCGTAACGGGACCAGCTGGTGCTATTCAACATGCAGCGTATGAAATGATCTGTATGTAGTTTAAAACTCTCGTATTTCTGCATGACAAGACACAAGCTTAACCTAGTAAATTAGATGTCTTGTTGTCGGTCGCTGTTCTTTGCCTGAACAAGACCTTTCCCATCCTGCTTGTTCTAAAGTCTTTGTGTCCATTGCAGCCCAAGATGACCCCTCAAGAGAAGCTCAAAATCCGAATGCAGAAGGCCCTAAACAAACAATGTGAGTTACTCATTCAGGCATCAATATTTATGCCAAGAATAATATATCGGTACTATATCGGTTGGCATGTATTTATCAGTCAGAATTGGATATTTAAATGTACTCTCTGTAACTTTTGGCCCTCTAGCAGTTAAACAACAAAACTGCATTTATTTTGCGTAAGAACGTTGTTTTAGTTGTGCTTCGGCTCTGTGTGACTGTGGGGATGAATATGGTTCTTTCTCATTTGATTTTTTTATTTATCTTATACTGAATAATACAGAATTTTAATTGTGTGTGTGTGTACAGGTTTGGCTATACCTGTTGAGGGCCTAATGTCCTCCCGTATAAGTGAAATATTATGACAACCAACTAGTGAGGACATTTTTCACTAGTAGTTAAAAAAAAAACATGTTTTCATTTAAATCTAGTGTTTTGCTCGTTTCTATGATGGGTTGCTTTAGGGATGGGGGTCGGGTTAGGCCATAGAAAATATCATTAACCTGATATAAAATCAATGCAAGTTTACGCAATGTCCTTACTAGTGAAACAAACGTGTTAAGGTTCATTAATTTGACTAGACATGAGGCATTAATGTAATAGCTTTTTTGTTTGATCTTATCTGTTCCTGGCATATGTTTACATGCGCATGTATACAGTCAGTGATCATATTTTTAGTGAAATGTGCATTGACTGGCTCTGATTACACTACTGTTCAGTTTGGAGTCAGATAATTATTTATTGCATTTTTTTTATTAAAGAAGTCTATTTGCTTGATCAAAAATACTATGACGATTAAATTCAATTTACTTCTGTAACGCAAAGCTGAATTTTCAGCATCATTACTCCAGTCTTCAGTGTCTCATGATCCTTCAGAAATTATTCTAATATGATGATTTGCTGCTCAAGAAACATTTCTTATCACACTTAAAAACAGTTGTGCTGCTTATTTTTGTGAAAACCATGATACAGTTTTCCTGGATTCTTTGATGAAAAGAAAGTTCAAAAGAGCAGAATTAATTTAAAATGGAAATCTTTTGTCACCTTTGATCAATTTAACGCATCCATGCTGAGTAAAAGTATTCAAAATCTTACTGACCCAAAGGTTTTGAATAGTAGTGTATACCACATGTTTCTAAGCTGTGCGTGTGTTATGGGAAAGACATCTGAAATAAAAGCCTGTTGACCCTGCCTCACTTTCTGCTTTCACCTTCATCAGCCAAGGCGGATAAGAAGGCGGCGCAAGCCAAGATCCAGCAACAAGAAAACAAGCGTCAGGTAAAAGCATGGGTGTACATTTGGTATGTGTGGGTGGGGAGTACCAGGTAGTTCTGAACTTAAACACTCATGCTTTCCCCCTCCCATCACAGGAACGAGAAGGAGTTCTTCGCGCAATGGCACGGAAAATACGCATGAAGTGAGTCCCAACATGTATATACATGTGCAACGTGTTCATGTTGTGGGAACTGTCCTCTCGGTTTGCAACGGAGAAGATACAGTTTGGTCATTGTTTGGTCTTGTAGGGAGCGGGAGCGGCGGGAAAAAGAAAGGGATGAATGGGAGAGGCAGTATGGACGTCAGAGTCACTCGCCCTCTCCCAACGCTAAACACGGTGAGTTTACATCGCACCAAAGAATCCCATCTTCGTACAGTAAAACGTGATGTTATCATCCACATTATGAAAGAACTGAATCGAGACACTTGTGGAATTAATTGTGCTCTGGTAAAGGATTCTGTAGATTTAACGTGTGGGAATAAAACATATGAACAAACAAACTCATGAAGAAGATTCTAATCATAAATCTTGAACAACCCACAGGTCGAGACTATGGCTCATCTAGAAGGTATGCTGAAACCAGTTTGGACCAGCCACACTTGTCCATTTGATCTAAACGTACTGCCGTTCAGGCTCATTTCAACCATTTTTACTGTCTTCCTCAACAGGAGATCACGCTCAAGATCACGGAGTCCGCATTACCGGTACTGAAGAATCGGCTGATAAAACACAAGACATTTTAGGAGTCCATGGTGACCAGATCGCATGAGTTTAGATGAAAGTTTGGGGAAAAATTACCAATAAAATTCTTTTCACTCACTTCAGCTTCATACATCTTCTGAAGGTTGCAATGGAAACAAATAAAATCATTTCTAAAATGTGAAAATGAACACCACCGTGCTCTAAAAACACATTTTGCCTCGATGTCTTGATATTTCACAGCAGGGTTCCCAGGAATGCTTTGAGCTGCTATGATTCTAATCAAGGTTTGCTGATTGTGGAGATCTGTGTTGAGTTTTGTGACATAAGATTGGGATGGACCTATCTCTCCCTTGTGTCTCATACCCTATTTTAAGATGGAGTTCCCCCAAAAAAAGCAAAAACTGTCATTTACTCACTCTCATGTACTAAACTAGCAAGACTGACTTGAGTTTTTGTGAAACACGTCATTCTGCCTAATGTGTTCTATGAAAAAAAAAAGTCAGTGAGGGTGAATAAATGACAGACTACTTGTTTGGGGGTAAACGGTCTCTAAGCGGTGAATCTGCGCATTTTACCTCATCATTGTACATAATCCCTTCATTAAAGAGTGAGAAAGTCTTTTACAGAAAATGCAGATTCTAAATGCTCATAATCTTTTTCACTCAGCAATGTAAATGTCTAGTGGTTATATCTTGAATTGGAAACAATCATCGATGGTCACAGATTTTTGACATTGAAATAAAAAGCTAATCATGATTAAAAAACCGTTGGTTTGGGTGTTTTTTTTCCCGCGTTCTCTTTGCCGTCACCACTGTTACGTGTTCTATCCGCCAGATGGCGCACGTCACTATTAGAACTACCACTGAGAATCATTCTATGCAAATTGCTGTTTTAAGTGGGAATTTGATCAGTTTACACAGACACATGTAAACAGTGTCCGTCAGCCTGTATTTACCCCCGTAATTCACTACATAGAAGCAAGCCTCTGAAAGTAAAGCGACAGTTACTTTGGATTTCGAAACAAGCCGGACAGCCAAACAAACACCTGTCTCAGTCGACCTCGATAAAGCCACTTCCTCTTCACCCACATCCTTAACCAGCACATTTTTATTGGTGTCAGAGCAGCAGCTGCGCGCCATCAAAACGACTATTTACATAAGTCCACCAATACGACAGGTAGATAAGGTATAGACTGAGTTTGAATCGTTTAAAGTGGCTCTAATGTTGTTGCTTAAGCACAGCAGAGTTGTTTAATGAGGTCAGTGATGATAAGACCGAGGATGATGATGATGATGATGATGGGCGGGCTGAAGGGCTGGAGGCGTTGCTCATGCCCTCCTCCTCCTGTAGGGCCAGCACACAGAGACAGTGTGTGAACTTGAATACTGACGGGCTCAGCAGCAGTCACACATCATTGGTGTTTTATGAGATTTAAAGTGTTCGCTTAGTTTTGGTGTCGTTCGGTTCTAGAGGAGCTTCTCTCACTATGTCCAGACGCAAACTCGGCAGCAGACCGCAACACCTGAGCGCAATGCAAGGTAAGCTGGATTCAAGACAACTTCATTCACATTTACACGAGAAAACACAACATATGCATGGAGAACCGAATATGGATAATGTGGGAGAGAGCATAACCAATAACGAGAGATCAATAACGTTAGCCAATAACTTTTCACGTGGTTTGTGTCTCACTCAAGTGCGTGTCCAGAACTTGACATTGGAGTTGAAATGATAACATACCCTCATGTTTTGTATTTTTTTTTATTTAAATGTGTTGCTGTCGAGAAGTATCGAATCACTAGTCAATCCGTGTTAAATGTGTATAGGCTATTTAAGGTTTTTTTTTTTTTTTTTTTTAGGTTAAAGTTCCGAGTTGGAGCAATAACATTGCACTTCCTTATTGCAACTTCACGATATCTTTATGTTTTGGTGTCGTCACTCATACCTTAGTGGCTGCTTTTTAATATTTACAGTTAGTTTTCATATTTTTACACACCCTCATTCTCGGATGGTATTCTTAATTTTACCTGCTGACAAGTGCGCTTGCTTCACTTCCAATATTTCTGTTGTTGTTGTTTATTGATATTAATAATTGATTGATAAACATAGTCGGCGTACTAAGACGTACGAGTGGATATTAAATATTGTTTTGATCATGCCAGGATCATCGTCTTGTTTTGTTTTATCTTCTAACTGTGGGCAGCTGTGCGTGCCTCACCTGACCACAAGACTTAAGTCTTGATGTGTGTGTGTTGGCGGAGTCTGATTTGTGAGTCGGATCTGTTCAATGAATCGGTTGAACCAAATCATTGACTGACGGGGCTAAAAGGCAAAGTTACTTTAAAAGCCGAATGTCAGAGAAATAAATATTTTAGTAAACTAAAATGTGTTTTTGTAATGTTGCTATGACATTTTATCACCACAGGTAATTTTAGTTTTACTTCGTTGCATTTTACTAGCACGTATTTAATCATTTAATTTGAGGTAGCTATAAGTTGATTTTAGTATTACAATGAAAGTGAACATTATATTTAGGATTTTAATGACTTTTCTTTGTGATCTGAACTGAGACATATGAAATTGTAATAAACATCCCTAATAATAAATGGAAAAAAACGTGATAAACCGCATTGCATATGGCTCTACTTATCAATTAAAATATTCTCCAACGAGATGTCAAGGGCCACGTGATAACGTGAAAACAACCGCTAAACGCGTGAAACGAACTGTCCGAAAGAACCGATTCACTTAAATAAATCGGACTTCCAGTCACTAATTTGTGAGAGAGAGCAGCCGCGCCTTTTGCGTGTCGGCACAAACAACCAGAGCTGTTGAAACAGGAAAGGTGACATTTTTGAGTAACCACAGGTGAAATCCTCCCCTTCCCAGGACTGTCTGTACCTGCATCGGCATGGACAGCCTAGCCCGGGCAGTTGGATCCAGTCCAGGCTCTCTCTCTCTTGCTCTCTCTCTTACTCTCTGTGTGTGTGTGTGTGTGTGTGTGTGTGTGCTCTGGAGTCCATGACCACAGCAGCGGCACCCAGGTCAAAGGGCAAGTTCCTCTTAACTCGCCTTCTTCACAGTCGAGTTAAATGTGCTCTGAGCAGGATCTGTGTCTGCAGCAAATTCATTGTGTATAAAAATGAAATCCTCCATAAAGATGTAGCCTACTTAAATATGGAGATTTGATTCACCCCAGGCGGCCCAGATGCTGATTTGCTTCTGTATAAATGAAATTCAGCAGCATTGCAGCCTTAAATGTTGCCTTTATCATTGCAGAGTAGTATTAGTAGTGTAATGTTTCTATATTCGTAATTCATAAATTTCATAAATTTACATTTTTGTGTAACTTAGTTTATTTTATCCTATGTATGGAGCTTCTGTGTCACTTTCACAGTGTATGAAGGGGCAATGGCCAATGCATGAAACTTTCAGTTTAGGCACGGATTGTCATAAATTTAAATGCACTTTATGTAGTACACTGTAAAAAATATATGATCAATAAGTTATGACAAAGTTTTTTGCATTTCTTTAACTTTCTTTAAACCTAGCCATTTTCAACTTATTTTATAAGTTATACAAGTTTCAACTCATTTTTTTAAAACCGGGTTAATGTAATTTAATTTGAAATGACTTAAACATCCAAGTTGATTGTACTTCAAAAAGTAAGGCAGCAACTTTTTTTCAATGTATACAGGCAGCTTCTGTGCCACCGCAGTGTAAAAATGACATTAGATGCACTAAGGGACAAAATATGAAAGCGTCTTTCTCTTTAGACACTTTGAAAATAAAGTAAAATAAAGATTTTTTTCTTCAGTTTGGCTCAGCTTTTGACCTGGCTTGATTTACATACTGCATACACACATACGCTCATTCGCCCCGGCGGTTATGAGTGGTGTGAAAGACACCTTGTGTATGTCAGCAGACTTGTGAGCATGGCAGGACGACTACAGTGCAAAGAGCCTGATATATCAGCATGCACTAATGGGTGAATTGCTCAAGCATGTCGGAGCTGCATCGCTCTACTTCCTGTCACAGCAGCCCTCGGTGGCAGAGACACAGGAAGTGGTCAGTATCTGTATCTGCTGACCAGACAGAGCCTGCTGATGATGACAGTTTAGCAGTACGCCGTCGCCGACAAATGCAGAGAACTGAAAGTAGCACATTAGAAGAGAAACGAAGCTGTTGCAAAGCCGCTCAGTTGGGTCATTTCAAGACTTCCAAGGGCTCGTTGCACTGTGCTTAACCCCTGGTTATCGTCGTTTTAAACCCCGCTTGTGTTTAGAAGTGGGATTGGCACCACCTTTTTACCCTGTGGTTAAACTGCTCAAATTGAGTGTTTTTGACCCTGTATTGTGGTTCTAAGCATGTGCTGTGTGAAACGAGACAGTGTGAGAATGTTACAGCAATCATGTACCTCACATTCACATGCTTTGGACAGTAACAGAAACACCCTGTATTGTATAAACAGTTTCAGCATTTGAAGGTGTTGTGGCAAAAATCATTAACCAATCAATATCACTGCGTAAGAGACATTCAGAGTCAAATTCAGTAAAAAGAAGTATTTTATTCTTGCAAGAATAGGTTCAGTCCCAAACACACAGAGGTTCAATCTGTGCGAGGAGTGACACAGATGCATGAGCAGAAGGGGGGTTCTTATAGCATTTTCAAGGACCTTTCTTTCTAAGTTTACACTATGATATGGGCTGTTATGTCTTTTAAGGGCATGACTGCAACTTCCAGAAACCTCTCAGGGCGCCTCAGTCCCTCTCAGGCCTTAACCTAATACATAAATGCACTGGTCAACACTGACCAGTCCCTAAGGTCAAAAGGTCTGCTCCTGAGCATCACCCCAAGCACGTACACAGATATTTTAGTTCATGTTATAGGATCATCAGGAGCCACATGGCTCAGATTCACCTAGTAAAATGTACTACTGATCAATGTAAGAAAAAAATTGCACCCACAAAGGGAAAATGGTGACAGAAAGCACACCAACTGGAATAAATACGTTGAGTGACTTACTTTCACAGTCCGAAAAGTCCATTCAGTGATAGTACAATCCGAAATAT